CTTTTCAATTGTTTTTGCTTATTTCTGCCTTTTTGGCTACTTTTCAATTGTTTTTGCTAATTTCTGCTTTTTTTTATAGCTACTTTTCAACTGTTTTTGCCAATTTCAGCTTTTTTCAGATAATTTCCACTTTTTGTGCTCATTTCTGCTTCATTCCACCTAATTGGGAAAACATGTTCTTTCTGCTTTCTTATGCTAATTTAAGCTAGTTCTACCTTTTCAGCCACCTTTTTTTAGCTAATATTAGCTGTTTTCAGATGAATTCAAGTTTTTCGTAGTTTTCTGCTACTTTCAGCTTAGTATGCTCCTTGTAAGTTTTTTCTTCTAGTTTCAACTTTTTCTGCTCTTTCAGCTACTATTTCGCTGTTTTTTTGCTAATTTTAGCACTTTCATCTAATTCCACTTTTTTTTATAGCTCATTTCAGCTCTTTCCACTTCCATCTTTAGTTTAGGCTTTGTTTTGCATTTTCAGCTACTATTCAGCTATTTTTTTTCTTAAAATTTCAGACTATTTAGCTTATTTAAACCAAATCCAGCAAATATGTGTTCTTTCTACTTTCTTCTGCTAACTTAGGCTTGTTCTTCCATTTCAGCCGTTAAGTTCTTCAGCAATAAGCACACTGCATTATCACAGGATACGTAATTTGTCTAGTTATTTCTTTTTCCAGACTATTTTATTGTTTGTAGTTTTGAAAAATTCAAAACATTTAAGCTAAATCCAGTGTTTTGTAAATTTAAATGTCTGAACTGTGAATTAAAGAAGCCTGAACATAAAAAACAAAGGAATCAATGGGACAAAATAAATCAAAATGTATTGGGCCATGAGGCAATTTGGAGTCAGATTCCAATTCAAATCATATACCTAGATTAGCTTTCTGTTAGCAAAATATTTCATGAATTACTGGGCGGATTTTAATGAAACCCTCAAGACAAACTGACCTTTGGAGTCAACCTGATTCAAGATGGCCGCCACATCTTTTTGACTAGCAAACACAAAAATGGCAATAACAATCAAATTTACAGACACTGCTCTACAGTTAGGAGTGGTAGTAGCGGAGAGTCATCCTCGAAACAGACCGAGTGCTCACGGACATTCATTGTGGCGTGTTTCATCTCAGCTTGAAGACTTAAATTTTTTTAATCAACGTTAAAGATTTTAAAACCTAATTAAAGTCAAGTTATCCGTCTGGATCAAATTAGCTGCGGTTTTAATTGGCGAAATCAATTATCGGTTAAAATCTGAACGCGTCATCGTTTTGTTCACGGGTGGTTCTCGGAACATTCTCGCGGATTCACGCTCTGGTTAGAACCGACAGCTCACCTTGATGTGGAACTCCAGGTTCTCGTCCATGGAGTAGATGTGGTCGAAGATGTCCCGGGCGATGCGAGGGATGATCCCCATCAGCTGCGGGTCGTGAAGTTTGCCCTGAACAAAAACACAAAACGCTGTGAGGATTAGCATATTTTTCAGATTATAAGGCTCACTGTCGATCTTTAAGTAAATTAAAGGATTTTAAGTGCGCCTTATAGTCAGAAGAATACGGTATACAGGTCCTTCTCAAAAAATTAGCATATTGTGATAAAGGTCATGATTTTCCATAATGTAATGATAAAAATGAAACTTTCATATATTTCAGATTCATTGCACACCAACTGAAACATTTCAGGTCTTTAATTGTTTTAATACTGATGATTATGGCATACAGCTCATGAAAACCCAAAATGCCTGTCCCAAAAAATTAGCATATTTCATCCCACCAATGAAAGACAAGTGTTTTTAATACAAAAAACGCCAACCTTCAAATAATCATGTTCAGTTATGCACTCAATACTTGGTCGGGAATCCTTTTGCATGAATGATTGCTTCAATGCGGCGTGGCATGGAGGCAATCAGCCTGTGGCACTGCTGAGGTGTTATGGAGGCCCAGGATGCTTCGATAGCGGCCTTAAGCTCATCCAGAGTGTTGGGTCTTGCGTCTCTCAACTTTCTCTTCACAATATCCCACAGGTTCTCTATGGGGTTCAGGTCAGGAGAGTTGGCAGGCCAATTGAGCACAGTAATACCATGGTCAGTAAACCATTTACCAGTGGTTTTGGCACTGTGAGCAGGTGCCAGGTCGTGCTGAAAAATGAAATCTTCATCTCCATAAAGCTTTTCAGCAGATGGAAGCATGAAGTGCTCCAAAATCTCCTGATAGCTAGCTGCATTGACCCTGCGCTTGATAAAACACAGTGGGCCAACACCAGCAGATGACATGACACTGTGGAAACTTGACACTGGACCTCAAGCAATGTGAATTCTGTGTCTCCTCTCTTCCTCCAGACTCTGGGACCTTGATTTCCAAAGGAAATGCAAAATTTACTGTAATCAGAGAACATAACTTTGGACCACTCAGCAGCAGTCCCAGGCGAGATGCTTCTGACGCAGTCTCTTGTTCAAGAGTGGCTTGACCTGGGGAATGCGGCACCTGTAGCCCATTTCCTGCACACGCCTGTGCACGGTGGCTCTGGATGTTTCTACTCCAGACTCAGTCCACTGCTTCCGCAGGTCCCCCAAGGTCTGGAATCGGCCCTTCTCCACAATCCTCCTCAGGGTCCGGTCACCTCTTCTCGTTGTGCAGCGTTTTCTGCCACACTTTTCCTTCCCACAGACTTCCCACTGAGGTGCCTTGATACAGCACTCTGGGAACAGCCTATTCGTTCAGCAATTTCTTTCTGTGTCTTACCCTCTTGTTTGAGGGTGTCAATGATGGCCTTCTGGACAGCAGTCAGGTCGGCAGTCTTACCCATGGTTGCGGTTTTGAGTAATGAACAAGGCTGGGAGTTTTTAAAAGCCTCAGGAATCTTTTGCAGGTGTTTAGAGTTATGTCATTGATTCAGATGGTTAGGTTAATAGCTTGTTTAGAGAACCTTTTCATGATATGCTAATTTTTTGGGACAGGCATTTTGGGTTTTCATGAGCTGTATGCCATAATCATCAGTATTAAAACAATTAAAGACCTGAAATGTTTCAGTTGGTGTGCAATGAATCTGAAATATATGAAAGTTTCATTTTTATCATTACATTATGGAAAATCATGACCTTTATCACAATATGCTAATTTTTTGAGAAGGACCTGTATGTGTCACCGCTGGGAGGGTCTACAGATGTGCTATTCAAAGGTTCACCTCCATGGTGTGCGTCTTCCCAGACGCTGTCTGTCCATACGCAAAAATCGTCCCGTTGTAACCGCCCAGCACATCTGGAATCACACAAATAATACACAGCTGTTAGAAACTGTTACAGATGTTAGACCCTGAAGAAAACGAGACAATTAGGTTTCAGGGTTCTATATCAGCCACTACTTTAAGTCCAATTTTACTCAAAGCCTGATAAAGTACGATTAAGCACTTTGTCAAAAGCTTTCTATTGACTCTATATCTATATCTGGACAAATCAAACGTTCAGCTTTAAAACTCTTTAATACAAAAACCAGTTTCATAAAATGTCCCTTAAACTGACTCAAGGACAGAAAATGAATAAAGATTGTAAAAATCAGAGCAGCCATTTTGGATTTCTGGAACAATTTGTGTGAAAAATCTATGAATAAAAAGAACGTTCTTCACAGGAAACAGGAAGTGCTCCACGTGTTCCTACTTCTGAAGAGGAGAACGCTAGAAAAAACATTTAGCTCAGGTACTTTTAGCACCTAAAGGAACCCGTCACTTAGAAGAGCCGTAGTTCACCAGAGACAGATCAAAACTTTAGCTGACCCGTTACTGTCAGCAGCTAAAGGTTTGGAAAGTCTGAAAGCTTTGCTTGTCAGAGTGTATAAATGTTGAAAACACGGCATGCTGAACGAGCTGAAGAAGCTGAAACTGGAGCTAAAGGGAGCCATATGCCAGCTAAAACTAAAAGCAGCAAAATGTCAACTAATTGCAGCAAAACGGTAGCTAAAAGCCGAAGGTAGCAGAATGGCGGCTAATATTAAAAGTAGCAACACTATAGATAAATTGGCATACATGTAGCTACACGCTAAAAGTAGGCAAAAGGCAGCTAAAACGAAAAGTAGAGTCATAAATAACACTAGCAGAACATTAGTTAAAAGGTAAAAGTAAGAAAAGGCTAACTGAAAGCTAAATGTAGCAAAAGGCTGACAAAAACCTAAAAGTAGGAAAATGGAAGCTAAGACCCCCAAATTAGAAAAAGACTAACAGCCAAATGAAGCAAAATGCTAGCTAAAAGTAGCAAAAGACTACAGGTAGATGCTATTAAAAGCAAAATGCTAATCAGTTAAAAATCTAGCAAGAATCTTAAAGTAGCAAAGTGCCAGCTGAAAGCTAAATTAGCAAAAGGCTAGATAAAAATAGCCAACGGTAACTAAAACTAAAAAGAAGACAAAACTAGAGGCGGTCAGGCTGCTTGAAGCCGAAGAAAAATATTTGTAAACTAGAGAAATTGCATTTCCTGCAAAAATGCAATGTGAATGCTTATTGCTGAGAAACAGCTGAAATTAGCTAAAAAAAATCATGCTGTAATGAAAGAACAAAACTAAATTAGCAGAAGAAAGCAGAAAGAACACATATTTGCTGAATTAGGTTTAAGTAAGCAGAAATTAGCACAACAGTTAGGAAATCAGCTAAAAAAGATCAAACTAGCACACACACACACAAAAAAAAAAAAATCTAAAAAGTAGCCAAAAATGGAAGAAAGAAACTTAACCTACAAGGAGGAAGTGGAAAAAGCTGAAATTAGCTGAAAAAACTAAAATTTGCATAAAACAGCTAAGTAGTAGCTGAAAAAGCAGAAACATTTTAAAACTAGTAGAAAAAAGCTGAAAGGAGCATAACAAGCTGAAATTAGCAGAAAGAAGTTAATTAAGCTGAAGGTAACAGAAATTATCAAGAAAACCTTTGATTTATCTGAAAACAGCTTAAATTAGCTAAATTCTTTTTTAAAAAAAAAGTAGCTGAAAAGGTAGAACAAGCTTAAATGAGCATAAGAAAGAAGAAATAACCTATTTACCCAATTAGGCTGAAAGAAGCAGAAATTATCACAAAAAAGTAGAAATTATTTGACAAAAGATGAAATTAGAAGAAAAAAACAGCTGAAAAGTAGCTAAAAAAGTAGAAAGAAGCTGAAATTATCAGAAGTAGAGAGAGCACATTTTTGTTGAACTAGGCTGAAAAAAGTTGAAATGAGTGCAAAAAATGTGGAATTAGCTGAAAAAGCATAAATTAGCATAAAACCGTTCAATAGTAGCTGAAACAGTAGAAAAAGCTGAAACTTGCAGAAATGCCTAAGCTGAAAGGAACAAGCTGAAATTAGCAGAAAAGAGGTTAGAAGAAGCCCAAAAATGTTGTAGTTAGCAGAAAGAATCTGAAAGGAGCACAAAACAGCTGAAAAAAACAACTGAAAGTAGCTGAAAAGATGTTTAAATTTGCACAAGGAAGCTGAAAGAAGCTGAAGCAGAACAAAATGTGAAAGGAGCAGTAAAAGGTTGTAAACAGAGCTAAAGATTTGAAGGATGGAAAATGAGCTCAATTCATTTTCTATGAGGAAAAAAGTGGCAGAAAAGGCTAAATATTTCAAAAAGCTAAAGTTGCACCAATATACCAAAAGTCACAGCAGGATTGTCCTAAAAGAGCTGAACGTTTTGATATTTGAAAGATTAAATGTGGACAGAAGTAAAAAAAATTTTTAAAAAAAGCTTCCTACCGTCTGCAACAGAACAAAACCCAGAGGAACCATAAGAGTGAGTCAGAGGAACCTCAGATTGGGCATAAAAAAATAATCTGTGTTCAGACAACCAGGGGGTCTTTGCCCCTCGTCCACCGGCTCACCTTTGACGATCTGCTTGGCGCACTGCTCGTACACCTGCTCCTGCGTCGTGTTCGGGGGCAGGACGCTGTCGAACACGTACGGTTTGCTCTGTGTCAACACAAAAACACAAGAATCAAAACTTGGTTTTAAGACTTCTCCCAGAACAAACAACTGGTCCTTGACGAGACCAGTCCAACTGGACCCCAGCTCTCCTCCTCACTGTGGCCCGTCCGTGCTCGGATTACGTCCTGGAAACGACTCTCAGCTACCGTCTTACAAAAGTTCAGCTGAGTATTTGTAAAGTTGTTCCGAGTCGCAGCCATTTTTAGGTTGGCCAGGATCACTTAGCTGTGGCGGCCATCTTGAATAGTATCAACTAAAAAAAAAAAAAAAAAAAAAAAGTAACGAGTTGTAGATCTCGAATAAAATCTATTTCAATTAAAATGTGTTAACAGGCAAAACATGACTGCATGCCTGTCATGGTGGCAGATAGTCATCATATTACCAGTGGACCTGTCGCCATAGCAACCAAGAAAGAGCCTTTTGCTCCAAAAGCCAAAGATGGACTAGACAAATGTATGGTACAATTATGGACAGATAATGGTGTACCACAAGGCTCACTTTTAGGACACACCCTCTTCACAATCTACTTAAGTAAGACTCTCACAATGGCACATTTTAATCTACAAATCACTTCTTGGTCTGTTGCCTTCATTCATCTCCTCCTACATGTCTCTTCATCAGTGCAGCTACAGCGTGCGCTCTCAGAACATCATTACCTGCAGTGTCCCCTCAGTGAGGACTGAACTAGGCAAAAGGTTCTTCTCCTACTTCGCTCCCGTTTCTTGGAATATTTTGCAAAAATATCGGACGCTCTTGACTTTGACCTCTAAGGGAGTTTAAACATCTGCTAAGTTCATGGCAAAAACCAACACGTGTTCCTGTTTTTAGTTTTTTTGCATCACTTTATAATGGAGCTGTTGTTTTATAGTGTTTATTTACTTTTCATTTTATATGCTTTTAGATGATTGTCTGTACCTCATCTGTGGTTTTTGTGTCAATCAGGTCTCTCTTGTAAATGAGTCCTCGAGGCTCAATGAGACTAACCTGTATAAATAAAGGTTGAATGAAAAATGTCTTCTAAAGACAACCCCGATGTTCAGATGAGACAAATTTGAGCTGTTTGGCCACAAAGCAGCTTCTGGCCTAAGCATATGTGAAGCACGGCGATGGCGGCATCATGATGCGGGTCAGAAGGTTTTAACTGGGTCTTCACGACCTCTTCCTGCAGGTTTATCTCCACAAACGGAACGTGTTGCAGGTTTTTATGCATCCTAACCAAACGCTTGAATAGTATTAGAGTTTTTGTTTGGAATAAATGCAGTTTGGATCATCAGACTCACCGAGACCACCACCGAGTCCTCCTTGAATTTGGGGACATATTTGTCTCCTCGGATGATCTCAGCCTCGTTCAGGGGCCTGAAGCGACACATCACCTTCACCCCGCACTCCGCAGCGTCCACCATGGCTGCTAACAAACAAACAAACACACAAACAAGGCGGGGGGGTCCCTCCTACACGGATATGTAATCGTCGGGCTCCCTGGTTCTCAAACCGCGGGGCAAGTTTCTAGTTTCTATCCGAACGGAGGAGCAGGGTTCCGGCTCTGCGCCATGACGGGCCGGGCCGTCCGGATCCGGAGCTCCGACCAGAACGGGTTCGAGCCGATTCTGCTCCTGAGATGGGGGGGTCCGGGTCCAGGGAGGATGAGGACAGCCGCAGCGTCCTGATCTGGGCGCGCTCCCGCACGGTGCTGTGGCCCGCATCAGCATCACAAAACGGTGACGCGCACGTAGAAGCCTCCGCAGTTCATCACGCAGCTTTTCATGACTTTACTTTAAATCAACTCGTTTATTTCCTTTTAAATATTTATATTTTTAAAGACGGTCCGTTCGAACTCTGGTCGGTGCCGTTAGCTTCAGTTGCACCAACTGGTGCTCTCAGATTATTGTAGATTAAACCAACCAGATTAAATTTGTACCAAGTGTTTTTATGGTTTTACCTTTTCTTTGGGTCCCAGACATTCAGAAGCAGAACTCTTGACTGGACAGACTGGACTCTGTCTTTAGTTTGGTGATAATCTCTAAACACCTTTTCTAAAAAAACAAACAAACCAAAAAAAAAAAAACAATAAATGAATTCAGTTTTGCTCTTTAGATTCTAGCTACTGCTGGAGTTCTTTTAGCTACCCTTTAGCCACATTTAACTGTTGCTACCGGTAGTTATGTTTCACTTTTAGCTACCCTTTTTGCTACGTCTCGCTTTTAGCTACCCTTTAGCCGCACTTGAACCCTTTTGCCACATTTCGCCTTTAGCTACCGTTTTGCTACGTTTCGCCTTTAGCTACCCTTTAGCTACATTTCGCCATTAGCTACCCTTTAGCTAC